TACGTCATTAACGTGAGCTATACATCATAATTCTGCACCAGAAGAAGCCAGACACAACTAGTTAGAAAATTGGATTAGGATCTAATCTAATTTTCCAGAATTTTCTAATCTAATACTTCCAGAAAATTGCAAAACCGAGTTCCGTTAAGTCACGGCTAAAAAGCCCTTGTAACATTAAGTGAAACATTGATTAATTCTAGTCTGGATTAGAACTTTATGTTACTTCTTTATCTTTTGCCACTGCAATATACTAGTTATCTTTTGTTTAATGATGCTTTTATTACGCAAATCACTGTGAACTGCCTCCCTGCTGAATGTGCTGCACAAACAAGCTTCCCTCGACTTAAAAATCATCGGTTTTAGGGGGTTTATATAAAGTTACAAACGTTAAAGTTGGATGAAACGCGACATGAAAATAGATGTGCTTTCTCTTTCCTTTTTCTCTTGGACTCGAGACAAAAACCAGATGAACCAACAGCCGGAAGCGACGTGAGCTGCTTCGGCGTCGTCTCTGGTAAAATCCGGTTTGTTTGAATGACACAATAAAACGTAACGCAAGTGAAACCAGACCTGAAGGAATCCATCTGCGTGTGTCAGATTATAAAGTCACAGGTCGGCTTGTCAATAATTGTCATTGTTTTTATATGCATATGCATAAAGTTTTGGAGAGTATCATTTAGTTGTTTTTTTTCCCCCCGCCACCCGTCTGTCTTGGACGCCGTTTTGACTTTAATTCCCAAATATTTGAGTCAAATTTGAACTCAATTAAAAATGACCTGACAGAGCTAACGTTTAATTAAAATAATAATAATAAAAAACAATTCAAGTAACACAGTGACTGATACTTCTTCAGTGGAAGATTGAGCTTGATAAAACATAGATGTCAGGTTTAAAGGCCGACTCGAGTGTCCTTCTGTTATTCGTGTTCCTGTTAATATTACACAATATTCCTGTCAGGACTTATCTCCTATCTGTGACGCATGTTGATTAGGACTGTTTAAATCGCTGCAGGAGATATCATCAACATCCACGTCGACAACCTCCACAACAGAGGAGCAAACAAAAACAAAACAATAAAAAGCAACACGACATGCTTCCGCTTGACTCGGCACGTAAAAACCCGCTAACTGTCACCCTCAAAACACTTCATGTAAGTCGGTGGGTGCATGAGGGCACTGGTGTTATCGTGACTGTTAAGGGGCTAAAACGCAAGCACACTCTGAACTCAATGCATTCGGACGGCTTTGGCAGGAAGGAGACTTTGAAATACAAATCATTGATTGAGTAAAGTGCAGATCAGGTCTGTTGTTATGCCAACTTTCCTGACCGCTCAGGTCTTCCTTTTCAAGTCTAATGTGCATCCCCAAAATCAGAGCCAAACATGGAGCATTAGCATCCAGCTTCTACGCTCCTGTGACCTGGAATGAGCTTTCAGAAAAAAAAACTGCAAACCCCCCACCCCCTAAAGAAAAAAAAAAACAACAAAAAAAAAAAAACTCTGAAAACACTGAGTTCTTTCCAATCAAGGCCAAAACCCTATCAGCTTGGAGCTGCCTTTAATTAATCACAGCTGGAAGAATCATAAACTGCAGTCCGTCTTTAAATCCATCATCATTTTTTACTTTGAATCTGCGAAGCACAGCCATTATGGACCGCTCAGCCTTCTATTACAGACTCCAAGAGGTGTGATCTGACCATCCAAAAATAATGTTTACCAGGAGTTTCCTGACCAGGCATGACTCTCCGCATGTCCAAACCTCACTGAATGCAGCCTTTCATACAAGTACCAGAGTGCGCTCTCAAATTAAAATAGGTTCCCAGTTTAAAAAAAAAAAAAAAAAACAAGGTTACAGAAAAGTGTTTAGAAAATCAGACAAGCTTAAATCTAACACTGATATGCTGAATCTGTGTGGAGAAGTGTCAATTGGAATATTAAATATTCATGTGCTTAATATATCTTTATCCCCTGTGAGGTTTTTGCTTTGAAATGATCATAAAACTCTGGCATAGCAACAGAGGTGTGTGTGACAGACTTTGTTTTGGCGACTACACAATGGGAACTGACATTCTATGGGAATGTAATATGTAATATGACATAAAGGACTTTTGTACTTTATGAAATCCAAAGAAATAAAGCCATGCAAAAGTAAAAAAAAAAACAAAAAAAAAAAAAAACAGGAGTTAATTTTCCTTTCGTTGTTAATCTGTGATCTCAGTGCCACGGATAAGACGGTCGTTTCTTCGTAACGGAAAAGGTTTAGCTCTGAGCAGAGGAGGCCTGAGATGAAGCTTCTGCTGACATCTTTAAAAAATTCATGTCCCATAAAAGCCAAGCGTGCAGACGGGGCTGCGGAGAGCACAGTGGATTCCCGTGAACGCCTACGGTCCTCAGAAGCAGAACGGTGCGTGTGGCCGAATTACTGCGCGCCCATGCAAGATAAAGATAAAGCAAATCCTCCTCTTACAGTAGATGTGGCTCTGTTTGACATTTCTCCTTAAGAATGAGGGGAACTCTCAGGGGAAAGCAACAAAAAAAAAAGAAAACCTTTTTTTTTTTTAGATTTTTTCTTTTTATTTGATTCTGGTGTTGAAGTTTAACATGGGTATGGTTGTTTTGTGATTTTCTTTTTTTTTTAGCCATAAACAGTCAATTTCAAACAAAACCTTTAGTTTTATTTTTACATGCTCAAGCTGGGTTGCTGACATCAAACTGGACAAAATGGTTTAAAGTCAAAGTGGTACAAAGGGGGAAAAAAATCTTTGAAAAGTGGATCTCCTTCCTCGTTTTGCATCAAATGCTGCAGGTGAAGACAAAGGAAAAAAAAAAGAACATTTACATGTTAAATAAAAAAAAATGATTCATCGCACTTGGGCTTAACTGCATTGACACGATCAGACAAGTTTGTTCCAACACAATTCATCATAGCACCATAACTAAAACTGTAAGGTTATGTATGCTAAATTACAATAAACCTGATTTTACAATTTATTGAAAGAGTAAGCCACTATTAAGCCACATGGTGAACACTTTGCCAGTCTGTACCTTGTATGCTAAATGCGGGTTGTTAAGAAATTGACAAAAAAGAAAAGTGCAAAATAAAAATAAAAAGAGTTATGCAGTTAGAGCAACATCAATGTTTGGCTTGTGATGTCTCAATCGGCCTCAACATAACGGCGTTAATATAAGTTGGTATATGTAGTTTGCAACCCTAAAAAATGAAACCTGTGCTGTGATGCTAGCTAAAAAAAAAACAGACTAAACAAATTTTGCACTATTGTCTAATCATCTCATACAAAATTATCTTTTTCTTGTCCTAATTTTACAAATCTCTTGGATTGGGGACTAGGACTTTGTCAGACCTTTTCAGATTAAATTAAAGTTTCCTTCATCATCTGTTGAATTTGTGCAGCTGTGCTGGCTTTGTGAAAGGCCTGCGTACAAGAGTTTTTGTTTAAAGCCACCGCGTCAAACTAACGGTGTTTTATGGTGGTATGAGTATTTAGTACCATGTAAATGTATTTCTATTTATCCATCCGCTGTGCAGTGACAGGGAGGAACTGCAGCAGGCATCAGGCTGGTGTTACCAAAATGTCCTCTAATGTAAGCAAGCAAGTTGCAACGTACGTCAGATGACTTGTAAAAAAAAAATATGCTTACATAAAACAAACAAACAAACAAAAAACAACCCCGTCACTTGTGGGGACATTCACATCAGCCAGATACAATGTCTAGTGCTCAAGCAGAATTCGGCGTATTTGATCAGCGTCAATCAGTAACAGTAAGATTAAATATTCCTTTGAGACCGATAAAGTTACATTAGAATCCCTGCCCAAAACTTCCCTGTCATCGTCCACTTCATTCAGTATTATTATACTCAGCTGAAATGACTCGATTTGTTTCAAACAATGAAAAACTCAAGACCGAATACACAAACTCTTAAGAAAAGCCTTTAGGCCGCAGAACAAAACAAGCAGTGAGACTATATTACAAACTTTACAGTAAAAACAGGCGATTTTGCCCATCGGAGAACTCCACCTGCTGGTGATGCACTAGAACGCGGTTAAAGCAGGAAACGTGTTTTAAAAATATACTAACCGTAATCCAAGACTTGCCAACTAGCTGCATATGAAAATGTCCAAAAAAAAAACCTCTCTGTAAAATTGCATTAGTCCTAAAAAGAACTGTATGCGAATGTGAGATGGTCGTTTGCAACAGCCGTTTTATTATTTAACAACCAGCACAGCAACTAAGAAATAAATCATCTAAAGCTTCAAATATTTGCTAAAGTGAGCCGTTTTGAAGCATTTCTTCACAACTAGGCATGCAGCCACTAAATTCCAGATGATGGGAATAATATGCGCCACCACTGTTTCTTAAAATAGCACGCATATGTTGTTCATATGGGCGTTTTAGCACATCAAAATGCGATTAAGAAAAAATAGCATCTCTAGTTAGATCACCGTTTTAAATAATTCGAAAAATCTACTCTTGCTATGTGAATCGCAAAGCTCACAGCGTAGCGAGAGAAGCATACCTGTGATTTATTTCAACTGAAGCTCAACTAATTATGTCAGATCTAAAACTAATTTGCCCCTTTTCCACAAGACCAAAGTTTACATCACATTTTTTTTTCACTTCACATTTGCACAAAAAGATGAAAAGATGAAGCTGGCAGGCAGGAGTTTTCGCTTGTCCCGGCCGACTTTTACTGACGGCTTGGGGAACAAAAAAANTTTTGCGTTGCCCGGCCCGTTTTTTCTACGGGCTTGGGGAAAAAAAAAAAAAAAAAAAAAAAACAACAAAAAAACAAAAGAAAAGGATAAAAATCGATGGCTCAAAAGCGCCTATGTATTAAAAAGTCATCATGCTTAATTACAGTTAAACTTTGACAGATCATTCGTTTACAATACTGGGCAAAAGACGACAAATAAAGATGCAGATAAAAAAGAAAAACAATCGTTGAAGTTGAATGGACTGCAGTAAAAACTATTCAGGATTTTTTGTTTTGTTTTGGAATAATTCACATTAAAGTTACATTTACATAGCAAATGAGGTTTGTAACCTCAAACAAAAGAGAGTCAAACACACATGCTCGGCATTAGATATGCACTGCCCTTTTTAAAGGAATAGTCTTCGATTAAAAAAAGAACTCCATTTTCCTTCTCATTATTGTGAGTCTGAGGATCACTGGTCATGCTAACTTGGCATTTCAGGCTAACGAGCAAGGCAGTACAGGACATAGAACGTAAATCTATCAGTGCAATTAGTCAGACTAACATTCACTTAAACAAAAAACAAAACAAAAAAAAAAAACCTTAGATAAAACCAAGCCTGCACTCTGATGGTACTCTGCAGGGTAATCTTTACAGGGTAAATATAATTTTTGGTGTCAAATTTTAAAAGCTTAAAAACAATGACAAGAAAAAGAAAGAAATGATGTGATTTATTGGTATTGCAGCCATTATGTCTTACACGATCACAGCAGAGTTTTGCTTATAGAAAGAATTTCTCTGTTGTTAAAAATGCTAGTCAGAAGCAGGCAGGAATTTAAATCTACCTGAATGGTTGCAGAGAGTGCTTTTACGTCCTGAGGTAGGGTGCCAGTCAGTTGGGTCTCCAAGCTAATTGTTAGACAACATTTCTCCTGACTTTCTTTTTGTCCCTGGAAAAACTGACCGATAATATGTTGCCTATAAATTTGCGCTTGAGTTTTAGAATCCAGCTCTCTTTCTGGATGGCCATTTTCTAATGTCTCAAACCCCAGGATTGGTAAAATCACTTTTTGGCAACTTTTAGTAGTCGGGCGCAAATGAGCATGAAAAAGAAAACGTTTCAAATATGATGATTAACGCCCCTCAATGTAGAGAGCGGCATGTTTTGTTAAAGTCATTGATTTCTCTTCACAAAGCCACAAAAGGCTTCTGATTACCGATTCATAAGAACGGCAACACGTTTCTTTCTCTCGACAGCACCGAAAACCGAAAAAGTAAGCATCACCAACTGCATCGCGTCAGCCACACCAGTGAGAAGTTCACGAGGGATTCTCCTCTAATTCCTCTAAAGGGCACTGGACCTCATTCAGCTTTACAGACGGAGCAGATAAGAACGTACAGCACTAAACTTCCAAAGACGTTTGGTACCTCCAGCAGCGAGGACTGCGGTTCACATCCCGCGTTCCCCATGCAGAGTTCTCAATTGTTGCACCATCATGTATGGCACAATAGCACATACGAGAGTACATTTTTAAGGAAAAAAAAACAAAAAAACAACAAAAAAAGACGCCATCAAATGAATAAGCAATGCAGGTTTTGCATGTATACAAAAAAAAAAAAAGTCCATTTGATTTGATTTTGAAGGCAAAAAAGAAAACAAAATATCATAAGAAGAGTTCAGGACAGAGGCTCAGCTGCGCCTGTTCTCTGAGGCCAAAATGATCGATAACCGAGTGCAACGGGTTCACTATTTACTCAATGAGGTTTCCTACATCTAATGGGGGAAAGAGCAACACTGACTGAAAGCCCCGCTTTGTGCCATCGAGTTCCTCTTCATGTGTCGGTGTCCTCTTTATATCAGCGTCTCCTCGTTTCAGAGCGCAAGCAGCACGAGGACTGGGTGGCAGAGCATGAAAGAGTCCACTGTTCCCCTGGTTTGGCACTTGACAAGTACAGTCCTGCTACCAGGGGGCCGACTTCCAGCAAGGCTCTCTACAGAAGTGGATTGGATTTAAACTAGGGAGCCTGCTTTTGCGGAGTTTCACCGAAAAACAAAAGGCAATCACCGTTAAAAGTGAAGCGAAAGCTGAGGTACCTATGTGTTTCGGCAGGAAAATATCTTCCCTCCCCTTGATGAACCACAAACACAATTCACATTAAAACCTAAAGAAAAGCAATAATAATAATAAAAACATCACATTTGGCAAACAAAGACAAGATACACAACAGCAGGTTTTCCCTTTTAGATTGAAGGTTTAAAATGCAACATGGCTTAACATTCTAGGGGATTTAATTCAGAAGAGTAAGTACATTGTATAACAGCTCCATTTGGAACGAGTCAGTTTGAGAAAAAAACTGAGATCACACCCTGAAAAAACAAAACACTTTTTGTTTTTTTTACCCCTTGCTCAATTAGATTCCACTTCTTTTCAAGCCACCAGGACACCATTATCTGTCCATTGTTCGTTGGGTTTCAGCAGTGCATTTTATTATTCCCCTTTGGCCCTTCGCTCCCTCTGCCTCCTTACATCAGAAACTCAGATGGGGGTTGGTCCACCTGCCACATGTGTCAGTCAAGAGGAAAATCCACCCCCCTCACCCCCTTTCCTCTTTCGCAGCTGAGGCTTCCCGTGGAACACACTGTTCCACAGATGAGGGCAGATCCACGGAAAGTTTTGGGACTGTACGGAAGCTCTGTGTGTGTGTGTGTGTGTGTGTGTGCGTGCGTGCGTGTGTCAGGGAATAGACATTTTTATGATGAACAGGAATAAAAAGCAGGTAAATAAATAATCATGGGTGCAGTGTGGGTACCTCCCAAAGGTTATACTCTCACGCTTGTGAGAGTATAACCTTTACTCTCACAAGCGTCTTGATCTTTTGCAATCCGACCCTCTTCTCCTGCTCACCGTAATAACCTCACCGACGTCAGTGAGTCCGTAGGCGCCCTAATTCCCTTCACTCTGAGGTCGACAGCTTCCCACCTTCACTCGCAGGGTGCCGCTTTTGTGGAGGTGCCACAGCTGGACGAACTCCTCCGGCATGGTGTGGATCCACTTGTCGGGCAGGATGTTGTCGTAGTAATGGTGGCTGATGGGCTGCCCGTCCAGTCTGATGGAGAACGGCCAAAAGCCGTAAACCGTCACCTCGTCGCACATCCCCAGGGCCAGGCTGACCAGGAAGAGGCCCGTGGAGAGGCGCATGGCGTGGACGCCGCGCGCTTTCCAGAATTTGCCCACGTTGCGCAGGAAGTCGGGGTTGGCGAAGAGCATGGTGAGGTTGGAGGGGGAGTCCGTGATGGCGTAGTAGGCCCGGAGCGACGGGTCGGTGCCGGGCCTCATGGAGAACGCTGGCATGTAGATGAAGCTGGAGCCGTATGCCTTCAAATAGTCCACGAAAGCTTTTCTAGACCAGAAAAGGCCTTGGAATCTGAGGAAGAACAGGGAGAGTCGCTCTAAATGCCTCAGTGCAGTGAGTGAGATTAACAACCTGGAGTGAGTGAAGAGCGCTGCCCAGTTAAACATAACATAGTTTTACGGTGACTAAGAATGAAATCTGATCCAGTGTTTATATTTAATTAAGCCTTTAAATTATTAAAAGTCTAATCTTGTCAACGTTTAATAATTTTTTTTTTTTTTTTTTTTAGTGGCTGCCCAACCGCAACTAATCCAAGAGCTCATGAAAAGAAATCCTAGAATAATGTCTGCACTGCTGCAGGTCTGATCATGATGACAGTCAAAACGCGTGATGATGGCCCGGAGTTGCTTTGACACTTCAGCACCTGAAGAAGCGCTTTACCTTTTCTCGATGATGCTGGGGTTGGCGGTGACCAGGTGGGTTTTGTTTCCCACGTCCTCCAAATATTCCTTCTTGAGCGGTGGAAGGTTGCACCTTGAGGAGTGAAAGGCCAATCATGAGAATTATTTTAATATAATCCAACATAAAGACCACAAATGTATTCATATAAGGTAAGAAACTAAATGTAATATGGGCCTCATTTTGTAAGATGCAAAAAAAAAACTTATTTTATTTTCCATCCATAGCCACGCTGCCGTGGTAGAACAATTACGTTAACCAAATTAAACACGGAGATGTAGGTTTTATTAATTTAGTGTGGCGCAGCACAGCAAAGGAAAAGTAATGCAGAAACACCACTGAACAACATCTAAAAACCACTCGTATTCTTTTTTTCCCCTCTCTCTCTCTCTCTGTGTCACCTGCACTATATGCAAATCGGTAGCCATGGCAACTGAAAGACAACAGTTTCACTCATAGAGCAGGAAACACCCAAAAAAAAAAAAAAAAACACAAAAAAAAAAGAGCGCCGAGCCCGTTACAGTAGCTTACAGTGCTTTCAGGCTTTGCGTTTATTTTGCAATTATGAATAAGTAATGGTCTGAACGCAGCAGTGGACGGTTAGCTGATTTAAACGCATGATGATCTGATACTGATGATCTGTTAGTATGTTTATGTGAGTCGCCCTTTTTTTTTTTTTTTTTTAACTGAACCAAAACGCACAGACAGCAAACTCAAACTGTGGCGGTGGCACTTCCAGCGTCAGCTGCCACAGGTTAATATTGAACATTGAATATGCATACGTTTATTTCAAAGAAAACAACCCTGTGGAACACGATAACCTTGGACCTTGTTATTTAGTTGTCATGGTGATAATTAAAAAGCAAAGTATTGCGTCCCCTTTTTCTTCTATCCCACACCGTAGATTTGGGATTCAGTGTGCTACGTTGACAACTTGGCAGTTAACACCTGGTAGTTACGGTCGGTGAGTGTTTTTTTTTTTTGTGTGTTTTTTTTTGGCCCTCCAGCAGGGAGCTGGATTTGGAGGCCGGGATCTTTTGCATGTTGCACCCCGTTTCAACACGTCTGTGGAACCGTTTCTTAAAAAGCTTGCTGGTCCAGTTTATGGCTGATGTGCTTGGGTGTGAAATTAGAGTTAGTGACCTTACGAATCAGTGAATTAAAAACCCCTCACTAGGTTAAGGGGACCGATTATTGGGTGGCAACTTTTAAAGCATCGATCAATTCCCAAAGCATTGTGAACAAATATCACAAACTACTCCTGTAAGTCTAGGTTACAGTGTGGCTCAGAACGAAACTGAATTACACGATGCACACTTGAGTGATTACAATTTCACTTTCAAGCACTGCTGACTTCCCGCTTGTTGCTGCAGGAAGCTGCAAAGCAACATAAATTTGCATCTATTACTCAGATGTGAACGTTAAGCACAGCTGGCAGTGAGTGAAAGGCTGAGTGCGCCTTGGAGACGCCACGCACTATTCAAGCTGTGAAAGGAGACGTGTGCTCTGTTAGCTACTGATTTTCCTTTGTTCCACTGTCTTTGCATCTCTCCATCCAATGCTGGGCATTCAAATGTGCGTTTTGTGCTAAATTTTTAGTGACATTTTCATCCCCAAAAAATTGGTCCATTTGGAAATCTGAATCGAATTCGGTTCCACAAGGTACATTTATTTCAGGAATTCAATTCAAAAAGTGAATCTTGTGCATTTGCATAGGTTCGCTACACGCAGAGCAACAGATTTCAGATGTTGGATTTCGTTTTTATTACCCAAGACCTAAAAACAAAAGAATAAAATTCAAACAAGCTTCACAGTAAAGTTTTACAATGAGGACTGACTGCCAACCCCGCCCCTTTCTTTGACGCATCTTCCAGAAAACCTGGAACTATAAGGAAGTCACAAATAGATTCAACTATTTTATCGTCACTTCACATAAACAGTTGTCGTGTAGTCGTTAGAGCTGTTGCACGGGAGGAATTTCTGCTGTAGAAAGTGAGTGAAAAAAATAACTATCAACACTAGAAACTTGCAAAACTAGAAAATTTTTCGCACAATGCAGATGATAAAGTTATCGACTTGGATNTTTTGCGTTGCCCGGCCCGTTTTTTCTACGGGCTTGGGGAAAAAAAAAAAAAAAAAAAAAAAACAACAAAAAAACAAAAGAAAAGGATAAAAATCGATGGCTCAAAAGCGCCTATGTATTAAAAAGTCATCATGCTTAATTACAGTTAAACTTTGACAGATCATTCGTTTACAATACTGGGCAAAAGACGACAAATAAAGATGCAGATAAAAAAGAAAAACAATCGTTGAAGTTGAATGGACTGCAGTAAAAACTATTCAGGATTTTTTGTTTTGTTTTGGAATAATTCACATTAAAGTTACATTTACATAGCAAATGAGGTTTGTAACCTCAAACAAAAGAGAGTCAAACACACATGCTCGGCATTAGATATGCACTGCCCTTTTTAAAGGAATAGTCTTCGATTAAAAAAAGAACTCCATTTTCCTTCTCATTATTGTGAGTCTGAGGATCACTGGTCATGCTAACTTGGCATTTCAGGCTAACGAGCAAGGCAGTACAGGACATAGAACGTAAATCTATCAGTGCAATTAGTCAGACTAACATTCACTTAAACAAAAAACAAAACAAAAAAAAAAAACCTTAGATAAAACCAAGCCTGCACTCTGATGGTACTCTGCAGGGTAATCTTTACAGGGTAAATATAATTTTTGGTGTCAAATTTTAAAAGCTTAAAAACAATGACAAGAAAAAGAAAGAAATGATGTGATTTATTGGTATTGCAGCCATTATGTCTTACACGATCACAGCAGAGTTTTGCTTATAGAAAGAATTTCTCTGTTGTTAAAAATGCTAGTCAGAAGCAGGCAGGAATTTAAATCTACCTGAATGGTTGCAGAGAGTGCTTTTACGTCCTGAGGTAGGGTGCCAGTCAGTTGGGTCTCCAAGCTAATTGTTAGACAACATTTCTCCTGACTTTCTTTTTGTCCCTGGAAAAACTGACCGATAATATGTTGCCTATAAATTTGCGCTTGAGTTTTAGAATCCAGCTCTCTTTCTGGATGGCCATTTTCTAATGTCTCAAACCCCAGGATTGGTAAAATCACTTTTTGGCAACTTTTAGTAGTCGGGCGCAAATGAGCATGAAAAAGAAAACGTTTCAAATATGATGATTAACGCCCCTCAATGTAGAGAGCGGCATGTTTTGTTAAAGTCATTGATTTCTCTTCACAAAGCCACAAAAGGCTTCTGATTACCGATTCATAAGAACGGCAACACGTTTCTTTCTCTCGACAGCACCGAAAACCGAAAAAGTAAGCATCACCAACTGCATCGCGTCAGCCACACCAGTGAGAAGTTCACGAGGGATTCTCCTCTAATTCCTCTAAAGGGCACTGGACCTCATTCAGCTTTACAGACGGAGCAGATAAGAACGTACAGCACTAAACTTCCAAAGACGTTTGGTACCTCCAGCAGCGAGGACTGCGGTTCACATCCCGCGTTCCCCATGCAGAGTTCTCAATTGTTGCACCATCATGTATGGCACAATAGCACATACGAGAGTACATTTTTAAGGAAAAAAAAACAAAAAAACAACAAAAAAAGACGCCATCAAATGAATAAGCAATGCAGGTTTTGCATGTATACAAAAAAAAAAAAAGTCCATTTGATTTGATTTTGAAGGCAAAAAAGAAAACAAAATATCATAAGAAGAGTTCAGGACAGAGGCTCAGCTGCGCCTGTTCTCTGAGGCCAAAATGATCGATAACCGAGTGCAACGGGTTCACTATTTACTCAATGAGGTTTCCTACATCTAATGGGGGAAAGAGCAACACTGACTGAAAGCCCCGCTTTGTGCCATCGAGTTCCTCTTCATGTGTCGGTGTCCTCTTTATATCAGCGTCTCCTCGTTTCAGAGCGCAAGCAGCACGAGGACTGGGTGGCAGAGCATGAAAGAGTCCACTGTTCCCCTGGTTTGGCACTTGACAAGTACAGTCCTGCTACCAGGGGGCCGACTTCCAGCAAGGCTCTCTACAGAAGTGGATTGGATTTAAACTAGGGAGCCTGCTTTTGCGGAGTTTCACCGAAAAACAAAAGGCAATCACCGTTAAAAGTGAAGCGAAAGCTGAGGTACCTATGTGTTTCGGCAGGAAAATATCTTCCCTCCCCTTGATGAACCACAAACACAATTCACATTAAAACCTAAAGAAAAGCAATAATAATAATAAAAACATCACATTTGGCAAACAAAGACAAGATACACAACAGCAGGTTTTCCCTTTTAGATTGAAGGTTTAAAATGCAACATGGCTTAACATTCTAGGGGATTTAATTCAGAAGAGTAAGTACATTGTATAACAGCTCCATTTGGAACGAGTCAGTTTGAGAAAAAAACTGAGATCACACCCTGAAAAAACAAAACACTTTTTGTTTTTTTTACCCCTTGCTCAATTAGATTCCACTTCTTTTCAAGCCACCAGGACACCATTATCTGTCCATTGTTCGTTGGGTTTCAGCAGTGCATTTTATTATTCCCCTTTGGCCCTTCGCTCCCTCTGCCTCCTTACATCAGAAACTCAGATGGGGGTTGGTCCACCTGCCACATGTGTCAGTCAAGAGGAAAATCCACCCCCCTCACCCCCTTTCCTCTTTCGCAGCTGAGGCTTCCCGTGGAACACACTGTTCCACAGATGAGGGCAGATCCACGGAAAGTTTTGGGACTGTACGGAAGCTCTGTGTGTGTGTGTGTGTGTGTGTGTGCGTGCGTGTGTCAGGGAATAGACATTTTTATGATGAACAGGAATAAAAAGCAGGTAAATAAATAATCATGGGTGCAGTGTGGGTACCTCCCAAAGGTTATACTCTCACGCTTGTGAGAGTATAACCTTTACTCTCACAAGCGTCTTGATCTTTTGCAATCCGACCCTCTTCTCCTGCTCACCGTAATAACCTCACCGACGTCAGTGAGTCCGTAGGCGCCCTAATTCCCTTCACTCTGAGGTCGACAGCTTCCCACCTTCACTCGCAGGGTGCCGCTTTTGTGGAGGTGCCACAGCTGGACGAACTCCTCCGGCATGGTGTGGATCCACTTGTCGGGCAGGATGTTGTCGTAGTAATGGTGGCTGATGGGCTGCCCGTCCAGTCTGATGGAGAACGGCCAAAAGCCGTAAACCGTCACCTCGTCGCACATCCCCAGGGCCAGGCTGACCAGGAAGAGGCCCGTGGAGAGGCGCATGGCGTGGACGCCGCGCGCTTTCCAGAATTTGCCCACGTTGCGCAGGAAGTCGGGGTTGGCGAAGAGCATGGTGAGGTTGGAGGGGGAGTCCGTGATGGCGTAGTAGGCCCGGAGCGACGGGTCGGTGCCGGGCCTCATGGAGAACGCTGGCATGTAGATGAAGCTGGAGCCGTATGCCTTCAAATAGTCCACGAAAGCTTTTCTAGACCAGAAAAGGCCTTGGAATCTGAGGAAGAACAGGGAGAGTCGCTCTAAATGCCTCAGTGCAGTGAGTGAGATTAACAACCTGGAGTGAGTGAAGAGCGCTGCCCAGTTAAACATAACATAGTTTTACGGTGACTAAGAATGAAATCTGATCCAGTGTTTATATTTAATTAAGCCTTTAAATTATTAAAAGTCTAATCTTGTCAACGTTTAATAATTTTTTTTTTTTTTTTTTTTAGTGGCTGCCCAACCGCAACTAATCCAAGAGCTCATGAAAAGAAATCCTAGAATAATGTCTGCACTGCTGCAGGTCTGATCATGATGACAGTCAAAACGCGTGATGATGGCCCGGAGTTGCTTTGACACTTCAGCACCTGAAGAAGCGCTTTACCTTTTCTCGATGATGCTGGGGTTGGCGGTGACCAGGTGGGTTTTGTTTCCCACGTCCTCCAAATATTCCTTCTTGAGCGGTGGAAGGTTGCACCTTGAGGAGTGAAAGGCCAATCATGAGAATTATTTTAATATAATCCAACATAAAGACCACAAATGTATTCATATAAGGTAAGAAACTAAATGTAATATGGGCCTCATTTTGTAAGATGCAAAAAAAAAACTTATTTTATTTTCCATCCATAGCCACGCTGCCGTGGTAGAACAATTACGTTAACCAAATTAAACACGGAGATGTAGGTTTTATTAATTTAGTGTGGCGCAGCACAGCAAAGGAAAAGTAATGCAGAAACACCACTGAACAACATCTAAAAACCACTCGTATTCTTTTTTTCCCCTCTCTCTCTCTCTCTCTGTGTCACCTGCACTATATGCAAATCGGTAGCCATGGCAACTGAAAGACAACAGTTTCACTCATAGAGCAGGAAACACCCAAAAAAAAAAAAAAAAAACACACAAAGAACAGAGCGTCGAGTCCGTTACAGTAGCTTACAGTGCTTTCAGGCTTTGCGTTTATTTTGCAATTATGAATAAGTAATGGTCTGAACGCAGCAGTGGACGGTTAGCTGATTTAAACGCATGATGATCTGATACTGATGATCTGTTAGTATGTTTATGTGAGTCGCCCTTTTTTTTTTTTTTTTTTAACTGAACCAAAACGCACAGACAGCAAACTCAAACTGTGGCGGTGGCACTTCCAGCGTCAGCTGCCACAGGTTAATATTGAACATTGAATATGCATACGTTTATTTCAAAGAAAACAACCCTGTGGAACACGATAACCTTGGACCTTGTTATTTAGTTGTCATGGTGATAATTAAAAAGCAAAGTATTGCGTCCCCTTTTTCTTCTATCCCACACCGTAGATTTGGGATTCAGTGTGCTACGTTGACAACTTGGCAGTTAACACCTGGTAGTTACGGTCGGTGAGTGTTTTTTTTTTTTGTGTGTTTTTTTTTGGCCCTCCAGCAGGGAGCTGGATTTGGAGGCCGGGATCTTTTGCATGTTGCACCCCGTTTCAACACGTCTGTGGAACCGTTTCTTAAAAAGCTTGCTGGTCCAGTTTATGGCTGATGTGCTTGGGTGTGAAATTAGAGTTAGTGACCTTACGAATCAGTGAATTAAAAACCCCTCACTAGGTTAAGGGGACCGATTATTGGGTGGCAACTTTTAAAGCATCGATCAATTCCCAAAGCATTGTGAACAAATATCACAAACTACTCCTGTAAGTCTAGGTTACAGTGTGGCTCAGAACGAAACTGAATTACACGATGCACACTTGAGTGATTACAATTTCACTTTCAAGCACTGCTGACTTCCCGCTTGTTGCTGCAGGAAGCTGCAAAGCAACATAAATTTGCATCTATTACTCAGATGTGAACGTTAAGCACAGCTGGCAGTGAGTGAAAGGCTGAGTGCGCCTTGGAGACGCCACGCACTATTCAAGCTGTGAAAGGAGACGTGTGCTCTGTTAGCTACTGATTTTCCTTTGTTCCACTGTCTTTGCATCTCTCCATCCAATGCTGGGCATTCAAATGTGCGTTTTGTGCTAAATTTTTAGTGACATTTTCATCCCCAAAAAATTGGTCCATTTGGAAATCTGAATCGAATTCGGTTCCACAAGGTACATTTATTTCAGGAATTCAATTCAAAAAGTGAATCTTGTGCATTTGCATAGGTTCGCTACACGCAGAGCAACAGATTTCAGATGTTGGATTTCGTTTTTATTACCCAAGACCTAAAAACAAAAGAATAAAATTCAAACAAGCTTCACAGTAAAGTTTTACAATGAGGACTGACTGCCAACCCCGCCCCTTTCTTTGACGCATCTTCCAGAAAACCTGGAACTATAAGGAAGTCACAAATAGATTCAACTATTTTATCGTCACTTCACATAAACAGTTGTCGTGTAGTCGTTAGAGCTGTTGCACGGGAGGAATTTCTGCTGTAGAAAGTGAGTGAAAAAAATAACTATCAACACTAGAAACTTGCAAAACTAGAAAATTTTTCGCACAATGCAGATGATAAAGTTATCGACTTGGATCAGCTTACTGAGGAAGTAGGGTGTAAGTGATGGTGGTGCTTTAAATTGACCTTGTGTGTAATTCAGGATTCACACTTGTTTATAGTCTTATCTGTGGCAGCTATATGTCTCAAATCATAATGCAGTAATTAATAACAGACCAAGATAACCTAAATAGAAAATTAAGTTTATAAACAATAACTTGTGGGAACTAAAGCCATCAAAACAGTCTGGGAAAAAGCGACGGCACGTCTCGTTAAATCACGATTTTACTGTGACCAATTACTTTAAGTTGACTTCAGTTTCACTGCCAGTCATGTAGAATCAAGAAATCAACCTGACTGTCAACATGAAGATCTGAACAAGCAACACGTTGCGGCGCTGCGTAGAGAAATTCAAGATTAGATGAGAAACTGACTTGAAGAAACGTGCAGAAAAAGTTGATGGAAAAGGCAAAAAATTGAAACAACGTCCTAAATTTCACAAAAACATTTCATCACTGTCTTGAGGTGGTTTTTGATTCCCCCCCCCCTCTCCCCTCCTCCAAAAAAAAAAAAAAAAGATGCAAAAGGGGAGATGCAAACACACGGATTTCTGTGCCTAGATGATGTTAGACTATCATATTTATTGTTCTCCCTTAAAATTACTGTATTTTCCGGACTATAAGCCGCAGGTATCTCTGCCGCTCCAGGTTTTCCACAACGATGCAGCAGCAGCAGACGGGGGCGGACACCCAAAATTTGAGTCATAAGAGGTCAATTGAATATCTCATTTATTACGGTTGAAAAAGAAAAAGTTGCCAAGTTTACATTTAACTGAACTGATTACAGTAGTTTCCGAACGGTAACTGTAACAGTAAAAGTGCTGATCCTTCGTGTCTGCTACTAACATGTGCTAAATGAAAATAGGCGCCTTCTTCTTCTTCTTTAGTTTTCTGCTTCTTCTTTAGATTTCAAAGGCAGCTTGCATCCATTATTATTGCACTACTGCCATCTACTGGATCCTAATATCTATACCTCAAATTCTCATAATGATCCCAGTATGGCAGTAGATGGCAGTAGCAGTAAAGATTCGTTAAATCTTTAATTTCCCTATTAAAGATTTAACGAAAAATCTTTAATAGGGAAATTTCAATTCCCTATTAAAGCCTAATTCCGTTTTAATGGTCGCTTTCTTCTTTTATTTCCAATTTTGACTTCCAATAATTCACTTCCTGCTAAAGAGTCCCCTGGTGGTTGAAGAAAAATCCACATATAAGCCGCGCCGGACCGCATGGTTCAAAGTTTAGGAAAAAAGTAGCGGCTTATACTCCGGAAAATGCGGTAGTTTGATTTTAAGTTTGACAACAAACTGAGAACAACTAAACAGAGTAATGGGGAGCTGTACAGCTTCAATAAAGTGAAATATCGAAGCCCCAAACCTACAGCTCTCTTTCCCTTTTACCGTTTTTCTTATGTGCTCTTAGCCCAGTGAATTTGTTCCGCTCATGCACAAAGCCGTAGACTCCAGAAGTCTCTTTGTCTCACCGCATGACGAAGTCAGCCTGGTTAATGTCTCGTCCACACTTGCTGTGCCTGAGGATACCGCCGTTGCCCACCACAGCGCACTTCTTCAGGGGCTTCAGAGGGGTGGTCTGGAGGAAACAAGAAACGGTTTTGTTAGCAGGCAACTTGTTGCGCAGATCCACATAACACGCATTCATTTTCTCTAAGGAGTCGCCTAACATTGAGGCCATTATGCAGTTGAGCGTGTGTCCTTGTGCTAAAATTCCCTCAAAAGCCCCTGGAGTGCTGGAAGACGAATCGCCGAAGAGATGCGAGGAGGCGGGGGGAGGAAGATTTCCAGAAAACAAGCTGGGGTCATGCTAACCCATGAAACCGATGCCGTCTCTGATATAACCTCCTGGAACAAAGTCCATATTATGTGTGGGAGGGAAATCATCTGATTGTCAGGCACAGACGAGTGGCACCATGTCTCTAAATGAATCTACTGATATTAAAAGAGTTAATGAATAAATGTACACTTTACATAAATATGCCCTCTAAACCCCTTTTTCCTAAATATGTTAAATGCTCCACTAACTCTAGTAATATAATCAGACCTCTGCTGGCTTTGAGAATAAAAAAAAAATAAAAAGCAGATCCAAAATATCTCTGGAGAAAATAAGAATTAGACGCTCACCTAAATGACCTTAAAATATATGAAAAAGAAACAAGCAAAAACATAAAATGTAGTCTGCACCACTTTTCCACATGCATAACCTATATACTGTAGATAAGTATTTACAGTATATAGGTGCAGTATATGCATGTGGAATGTAGATAAGTATAGATAAGTATAATTATATACAGTATAAAGGTACAATTTTATAACAGTATAAAGGTTATAGCTGTATTTTTTTTTTCATTTTTCACAACTGTCTTGCTATTTCGTGCTTAGTCATAAAAACAAAACAAAAAAAACAAAACAACAAAACTATTTAGAAGATGCCAAAAAAGGGTGAACAAATTCAGTATGTCACAATTTAGCTACACTGATCAAGTTCAGATTTTTATTGCTTTAAATTGTAGAACCACATTGTCCCTTTTAAAAAAAAAAAGCACAACCCGTTATCTCTATAATATATCTTTGAGCATGCAACTATAAACTAATAAAACTTGTTCTCTGTGCATACTGCTACCACTTGGTACAATTATAAAACCACAATAAACTTTAAGGAGGAATCCCTTTTGTGGTTGTGCACTTATCTTCAATCGCCCTCATGGTTAATCAACTAAGTCCTTGAAATATATTATATTTTAAGCACACAAGATTAATTATTATAGTTGTGAATTACTTTTTATTAGCTGATCGTTATGCAAGCTTGACATAATTTTGAACGCCAGCAAAGCCGTGTAAAATGACACGGAAAAAAACGCATACCGGATGCAGAAAAGACCATGCTTCTGCAACTTTTACCGTAAGTTCAAGGTGAGGATGATGACACATAGTGGTAATAACTGCCCTCATTCCTCTCTGAGAACACCTTCGCGGGATGCACGGCTCGGCGTCTGGACTGAATCGACATTTGTGGCGGTGACTTTCATTTGCATCCGTGCAGACGAAATATTCACAATGCGGATCGCAGATCAAATTTCCAGCATCTCACAAGTGGACAGCTGAAGCACACCGATAAGGTTCTAACGTTCACAATCACACCAATGAGTACGACAGATGAAAAGATCATAGGATTCTTGCTTTGCAGCTCGATCAGCCTCATGTGTACGTTATCTGTTTGAACCATCTTACTAACCTGTAATTACACATCAAGCTGCTTTTAGGCACATTCCCCTAAAAGCAGATTCGGCAGCAGCTGCCAGCGCCGTGCAGCTTGGCTGGTTGTCTGTGTTCAGACCCACAATCACAGCAGTGGTAGTTTACTGTATTTAGAAGAGGGCATCATCTGCCTCACATAACTACCAGTTCTCTCCTCTCTGAAAAACACACTGCGGGTCATGTAGATTCATGCAGGAAGTGCAGGGCCTGGGCTAAAAATAGAGCTGCAATAACCTCTGTTTGGTAGGTTCACTGGAGTTGAAACTAAAGAAAGATGATTACTTTTTTCACCTATACTCCTCCTAGCTCAAGACTGCAAATCTCAGATATGAAATGACTGTTTCTTTAGACCATAGAGACATGGTGGGTTACACAGAGAGTTTTTAAACCTAATTCTCAGAGAATTGATATGTAAAATTTTTTTTTTTTTTTTTACAAATCTGTCAATAATCGTGACTGACTGTGGCTGGTGAATTCGAACTCAACTCTCCAAATAAGTTAATTTGTTTCTGTCTGCAACAGGCCAGGTTGCTTTGATAGCTTTTTCATTCTAGATTATATGAAGGGTGATTTTGGAATTTGTTCGGGTTATCTCTATCTGATATGAAAAAACTAATTACATCAAGGGGCAAATGTGAATGCTTTTCGCATCACTGCACCTGCACATCGTATAAGACCTATGTAGAAATTAAAGACAATTCCTTTTAACCAGGATGATAACGCTCAAACCAGCCCCTAAGAAACAAGTCTTTAAGGAAAAAAGGAATGGGATAATTTTAGAGAAGCAATTGTATCTGCAAATTCATCTGAATAATATCCACTGAACAGTTTCTACAAATCGCAAATTGAAAAGTCAAGAAAATAATATTCGTAAAGAACATCACATGTGAGTTTTTATTGTTACTTTTTATTATTCACCCAAACTAAATTTTGGTGCTCTGGAGCAAAAGGTAAGTAAAGAGAAGCTTATTCAGAGCCAGCAAAAAAATAAATAAATAAATAAATAAATAAATAAATAAATAAAAAAAATTGACAGCTGAATTCTAAAATATTTTTAAAAATGTTATTCCATAAACCCAAAGTCCATAAGGTGGAACATTGTATGATTGTAGTCACACAAATGGATGTGAAGTAAAAACTGGTGTGAACCGAGTGGGAAGGATTTGGTTAGCCTACTCTTGGTTGCTTGGTTAGGATTTGGAAACCAAGTCCATTCCGAAAATGAAAAGCTAGCTAAAGAGTTATGGATAGATGAGCTAGAAAAACCAAAAACCTAACTAAACCCACAAACCCTAATGCACACAAAACAAGAACAGCATGGCTAAGGCTTGTTGAACATTGCAGTGTTTCGCAACCCTGGTCGTCAAGGCACACTGACATGCATGTTGTAGATGTTTCCCTGACTGCAATTCAGGAAGAGCCTGTTAATCAGTCATCAACTAAAATTATATGTGCTGAAGCAGGGAAATGCTTGAAACATACAGGTGACATGAAGTTGAAGTGAGGTGGTGAGAGAGAGACGCTGGCAGGACCCAGGTAGAACAGAAGATGATGAATTTAATGATGAACTCAGCTCGAACAGTCCAAACAAGTAGGCAGCACAGTGAAAGGTAACAGAGCGAACACTGGTAGCAACGACTGAAACACGAGAGCTGACGCCAACACAGGACTTAAGCCCGTTCTACTGTGACGACTAAACAAACAGACACTCAGGACTTCACAGTTCTACTGAGATGCCTGAACGATGACTGCAATCAGACTTGCGACAAACGACAAGGATCCGACAAAGACAAAAATAACAGGTGGTCTTAAATACACAGGGAGGGTAATCAGGGAACAAGACACAGCTGGGAACAAACAGGGAAGGCAGGACAGAGACTCGCAGGGAAACAGGACTAAACACAGAAAATCTCACAATAACTATACAGAAAAACACGGATCACAACAGCAGGACAGTTTTTGGTTGAAAAACATTGAAATATTCTACCTAAACGGCACATAAACTGAATATCAGAAGTTTATACTCTTATGTAAAGATGTCATTTGTCCATGATGTAAGGACAAGAGCAAGATACTTCTTCAGAAGATTTTTTTCCCTCCATAATAAACATGAAACATATTTTGTGTGTTGGTGTTGTTCCCAAAAAACATGAACTAATGAGAAAGGCGGGTGTAATTTTTTGGTAATTCCCCTACAAACAATGGGACAGAAGAAACGTGGGAAAATAATTAACAGAGTGAAGAAAGCTGAGGACAGAGAACAGGCTACTCACAATAGGGACAGTTTTAAGGGTATTAATTGGAATTCATTGTGACAGTATTAAATCAAAACATCTTATCACGATAAGAAATGTATGTATTCAGAAATGCTTTGTCATGACTGCTAATCAAGTGTCGTGTATGCGCACTTGTTACCGCAACCTGTTCTGGTAGTAGAACTTTGCAGCTGCTGATGAATTAGCCCAGCTACTTGGGGGGGAAAAAAAAAAAAAAAAAAAAAAAAAAGAAATCAGGACAGACAGGCACAGTGGTCCTGCCAGGTCACTTTCTCACTGCGTTCACATTTTTTATTTATTCACCCGCAGTTCCCAATGCTTGCATGACTGGACAGGCACTGCTAACGACTTTAAATTAGGGTCAGATATTCATCATGGCCCTCAACCGGTATACTGTGTGCAGATATGGATCCGGAGGGCCTCAATTACATCTCAGACCCAATTCCTCTTCCTGTGGTTAAACGGAAAAAACACAATGGTTGGCAGTGCCTCTTCACTGTCAGTTTACCGCCCACAGATGAATCTGCACGCGCCGATCCACGCAGCTGCGAATGCAGGGTGAAAACTGTTCAGATGGCATAAATAATTAATTCATTACAAAATGAAGAAATTTGTGAAATTCCAGATGTTGATTTTCGATTACGGTTAAGCGTCTTTACGATGACACCTCGGATGCTCGTCTGCCCGTTTCCCCCACAGCTTCATATTGACTCTCTCTCACACAAAGACAACGTGCGAGTAATCCTCTTCCCCTCGGAGGATGACCGTCTGCCCCACTGACCCCTCCCTTCCTCCATTATGGATCACCAAGTCATCCCTGAGCAAACACATCGTCCTCACATCGGCAGCAAGTGTGCGGAGAAACTACCTCAAAATGTATCTACTCCAAGTTACTCTTGTGTCCTTAGGAAATGATTCCATCAGGAAAAATTGTGGCAAAAGAAATATTTTACATGCAAGCTAAACATGCAGCCCTGTGGAAAAAAAAAGAAGAGTGTACCACATGGAAATGCTGGTTTACCTGCACAAAGATCGAATACGTCTCGTTGTTGACAGTGTGTGAGTAGTAATACTCTCCATCGTACCACAGGACCTTGCCAATGGGAGCGTTCTCCTTCGTCACGGAAAACATCCACCTCGGATTGCAACATTCTGTCAGCAGATTCCTGTGCAGGAAAGAAGGGAGGATTAGTCTGACCTCTGGAGACCTCTGGGATACTTTGGTGTAAACTGTCCCACACGCAGCTGCAGGAATGATTTATGGTCGCAAGCTAAACAGACAGCTGTTTTGAAGTCGTCGCTGAAAAGATTATTGCCGAGCTGGAAACCGTTACCATTAGAGAAACACGACTGTACGGTACATCCGATTGGTTAAAACGCACAACTCCAATGCTGACACCACAGGCCGACCATGATGGAGGTCAACATGAAAAAAAAAGTACATTTAGGATGTCTTGCAAGACCAGGAAATAATAAAAATGTATGATTTAATATTTAATTGAATGATGCTCTGAATGCTGTAGGCATGTTCTTGCTTCATATTCTTCTCAAGTTAGTTGTAGCATTACTTCAATTGTTCATGTAACTCTTCCTGAATTTAAAATATGTAATGACCTTCCCTCTTCTTTTTCCCGCTCCAAAAACATGATGTGTCGCTTTTAGACTTCTGTATACTGGCAGACATACAGAATGTCTATTTAAAGCTCCACACAGAGGCCCAGCACAGGGTGCACATCCTCCTTTATTGGGTGGCCTTCTTTCTGTTTTGGTTCTGTAAACTGACTGGGTTAAATGGGATTAAAGGTAGGAATTTAAAGACTACCAATCAGAAGTTTTAAAACACCCCCAGTCTTTCCAGTTGTTTTTAAATTGAAATTCAAGTCCAATGTAGCTTGAAATGTTACAAAGGTAAGTGGTGAACTTCCAAAGGTTAAAAAAAAGGTTGAGTTATCCCAAACTGAATAATAATGTACAGTTCAGAAATACATAAAAAGGTGGATAAAGCTTTGAAAGCAGGTGATGATCATTTCTCCAAAGATTCAATCGCAAATAAAGTCAAGAGTAGTTTCCTTTACTATCAAATGGGCCACAGGCGAAGCGAGCTGGCCGACACAAAGGCACAAAAAAACGCCAAAGACAAACTTCCGCCAGCTTCTGTGTTAGGCAGATCACAGACCAACGGCTTCAATCACAGCTTCACAAATCCTAGTTTCAACATTAAAGAGAGGACTTCGAGCAGCTGGTATGACAGGTCGAGTTGCAGCAAGTGAGAGGCGCTCTGAACCACAAACGGCTTCCACATTCATCCTACAGCAAGACAACAATCAAGAGGTTCATGCTGTGACAGAACAATACAGGAAGAAATGACAAGATAAGATGAAAACATGAAGTGATTAGCGCAGTCTTCAGATTTCAACCGCATCGAGCAGGTTTGGGGTGAATTAGGCGGAAATGTGAAACCAGAGCAAACTGCAAGTGAAACACATTTATAGGAACTTCTGTGACTAATAAGGGATTTCACTTTCTGAAAAGCATTTGATTTCCATAGTAGGAAAGAAAGAAAGCCACAAGTGTGTTCAGCTGTTTTATCTACCAAAGGCGGCCACTTTGACTGGTCAAAAAATAAATAAATTCGGTCTATAACCTAATTGCACAAGTTATTCATTAAGCAATGAATTCATTTCAGAGTGACATAAATGCAATTTAAAAAAAAAAAGGTTCCATTGATTACTGAGAGTGGTAAAAAAATAATTTTGCCATTCATATCTCCTAATATATGTGATGTTCTGTTATCTTTTAGCTCCACTTGAGTCTTCCTTACCAAATGCAATTTAGCATAAATAAGCTCTAACGGTATTTGAGAGCAAGGGAGAAATGTGAGCCTGGAACCGACCTGTACAAATCGATACCCGTCTGGTTCTTCTTCCACGCTTCCCCCAGTCCCAGCACCTCCTCCACAATCTCTTTGTCGCTGGGAAGTCTGTACGCAGGGAAAACGTAGAACCAGCCGAGCACCAGCACGCACAGAGCGGCCCACACCGACAGCTTAACCCGGCAGCATCGCACCAACATCTTCCCCCTCCGTCTTGTGTCAAAACAGCAGCAGCAGCAGGAGCAGCACGCGGCGCGGCGCGTCAGAATCCTTTTAAAATCGCCGGATCAGAGCTGCAGCATCCCGACAAAGGAGCGTGAGCTGCTCGGTTACGCGGTGGTTTGGTCCATGCATCGGTCTGGAAGTCCGGCTTTGAATGAGACGGGCTCTGATTTACAGGAGAAGCAGAGGCGTGTGTCCGTGCGGTGGTGGCTCACGCTCGGTCGCGGGGCTGTGGCGCAGTGTGTGAGGGTCTGTGGGAATCCGGCGCTCTGCTGGGTGTGCATCACCACCATCATCCCAGCCACGGTTATTGTGAGGAATCAGACGAGGGGCCCCTCTTCAAGCCCGGGGTTCTGTTGCATCTCGTTCTGTCCGTGCTGCTCCCCCGCCCCTCCTCGACCTTGAGCACTCACAAAAAGCCACCCCCCCCCTTTCCTTGAGGCCCCGGCTGTAGCCTAAAAATGAAGAAAAGTGTGCGGCGTAGATGAACCAGGCCTGTCCTCCTTCTCTCTAAAGGAGAGCAACCCCCTTTCGATAAGACTAAGTACTTCTTGTGGGGATGGAGGTGCGTAAAGGCGGACGAAATTGGGGAAGTGGAGAAAAGAATGTGCCTTTCAAAGTAAAAGCATGCGCGCCAACGCCGTATATTCCCATCGCCATCTGCTCCCAAACGAGGTTGTCTCCGGATTCCCGTTCCGGGCGAGCTTCTCCTTCGTAACGCCATGCACAGATGACAAGCTCACTTCTCTGACAAACCCATTTCACAAACTGGCTTAGCAGCTCAGAACAGCAACATTTAGTTTTGTTCTTCACTCAGCCCAGAGCGGGAATTAGAAAAAAAAAAAAAAAAACTTCTATTAGTTTATCCAGAGAAACTTACTCGTTACCTTAGATCAATATTTAGCACTAAACTTTTAATATCAGAGCAGGACCTAGAGAAAGTAGAACAAAGTTAGAAAGTATAGAATCAAACATTGAGAACTAACATCTAGTTTTATCAGAACAAGAATCCGGGTAAAGTCCTATTACTTTATAAATTGTGGGGTACTTTTATGGTTTGCTTTTCCTTTGCTATTTTTGTTTGTATTTCCTCCAATTTACGCAAAGCACTTTGAATCACCTTGTTGCTGAAAATGTGCTATACAAATAAAATGATCTTACCCAGCAGTGTTCTTCTGTGGCTTGACGGTTTGCATATTTCTGTCTGGTCCCTATCTGTAACTCATTGACCTGAAGTTGCATAAAGGAGTCACTGAAATGAAAACAAGTCGCATCCATTAGAGTTTGAGTNCTTGAGGTAAAATATCATTCAAATGCAAGACCAGCAGATCTTCTGTTCATGAGGGTTGCAAGACAAAGCAGCGTGTTGCTTTGACTCATGTATGACTTTTCGTTTTTTGAGAAGTCCTCGAATCCCCCGTTTTCTAAGACGCAAAGTCAAATTTCTTCTAAGTCGTTTTGATGAACGCGGCATTTTCAGAACAACTGAAGGCAGCAGCTACTTGACTGTTATAAAATGTCTGGAAAATACACAACATAACCTGTTTTCGTCCATCAACATGAGTCCAAATAAAGAAATGGCTTTGCGTACACTCTGTTTTCATTCAGGGAGTTCATTTTATTTTTCTTTGTTAAAAACCAAAAAAAAATTAAACAAAGATGGATTCATTTTTATACTACTACTCCCTGTAGAACTGTATAGCTGCATCTGTTTGCATAGCAGCGTGAATTTAGAGCTGCCAAATAAATACTGCTTGGAAAATATTTGAAAACATCAACATGTCAATAACTCACTCTGGAATAAGTTGTACTAATATATTCGACACATTTTTATTAAATTTGCCACAAATAAGGATACACACTTTTCTGCATGCTTACTTGTCCACGACAAAATGGATGTATAGGCTAGTGCTCTTTTTTCTTTCTTTCTTTTTTGTTGTTGTTTCAAACGGGGAAGGAAAATGCCTTCACCAGAGAGACAAACATTTAATCTTTGGAATGGAATAAACAAATTCTTAAACTGAAATAACACGAAACATAGATTATTGCCTGAAAATGACTGCGGACAAAAGCTGTGGTCTTTGCCTTCATGCTGGAGCCTGAACTGTGTTGCGTTCAGGCCCTCTGCTGGCTTTTATCGGCAATCGCAAAAACGATGCCAAACCAAACCGGCATACCACAGTTAGTCTCTTCTAAGGACACTTTATCATCTCTGTAACCCAGGAATTTCCCCCTAGCTGTCTGCAGCAGCTTATCATTCAGTGTAATCCATTAAAATGTTCTCATATTTGTAACTTGCTTGCCAGCTAAGGAAATTCAGAGAACATTTAATGTTTTGTCAAGTAGCTGTAAATCTTCTTTTCCTTCTTTTTAGAGCAGGTTCTGTGTTTAGACCGTTTTTTTTTTAACCGCTTAATTCCCATAAGTATAAATCAGTGCAGGCATAGAGCGAGCGACTGTAACCTGAACCGGGCAGCAGCCAGTTGTGCTTTCTCTTTGCCAGTGTGTCTTTTGACATTGATAGGTTCTCATACCAAAAGTGTTTCCTGTGGCCCGGCTTCTCAGGGCAACCCGACAGACAAATAAATAAATAAAAAAAACCCCAACAACATTCCCAATCGGTTTAAATACAACACAGGCTCGTCCAAGTGAGGTGTTGTGAAATGCGGGGCGGTCGCGGCTCCTGCTGGGATTAACGGCGAGCCAGAGTCAAGGTTGGGAGTGCGGTGAAGGGGGATGACATGGCAGGCCACTTGGGTGAAGTCATGTCTCAGCTGTTCTCTGCGCTTTGCAGACAGAGGAGTTACAAATCAAAGGTTTGTGCAAAGTCTAAGCTGAAAAGTGTTAGCAGTAGCAATCTTGTACCAAAATAATAATAACAATAATAATAATAATAATATATCAAGATCTATTTAAGACGTGTTAGATCAAAAAGACCCAACACATAGAAGCATAACAAAGGGCAAGCATAACTTTAGACGTATTCATTAATGGAGTCTAAATAGAATATGGCAAAACAGAAAAACAATGTTTTTGATTATTTTTTGGGGAAAAAAGGCATAGAAGTGTGAGTGGCACCAATATAGACACAGGGGCGGATCTAGAAAAATATTTATGGGGTGGCAAGAGGGGGGCAGGGATTTTT